TGGCTGAAAACCAAATACATGACCCCATGCAAAAGTCCTACGACTATAGTGTGGCGTTCCTGGATATGTATATTATTATCATTAAAGTGCAAAACATGTACATCACCTGTGTGTATGTAATACACAATACACGCACGAATACTTTGCACACATGTATGACCCAAACATAATACACACGCGTAACAAACACTCACACTTAAGACACCACACATGCTAGACACACACACCACTGATACTCGAGCGCATGCATTATACACACAGTGAGCAATAACTTAGGTGACGACTCGACTGAAACACTACCCATACACCACAGCGTGCCGCCGCTGCTGCTGTACCATCACCAACACTACACCCATCATTGTGCACAGGCGCTTGATTCCCCTTCTTCCCTTCTCAATCAGCGCCCTCCTCTCCTCCTTCACCCTCCATCACACTCCAACCCAATAATTGTGCAGCTCAGAAGTGCAGAACCAGTTCCATGAGTCTACTGTATAGAAGAAAAGAAAGTATGAGCAGACACTCTCTAAAATAATACAACGTAAAACGTCTTTTTAGTTCACCCACCTTTATTCTCTTTCCACGTCAATATTATCGAGCAGAATTTGTTTAAAGAAGATTCTGGAACGGGTTTGACATTCTACGTCTCACCAGCAATGTTAAACAAACGCTGCTCTGGGTTAGCAGATGTTACTGGCAAAATACATCCATCTAGAGACTATGGGGTCCTGTTCAATCCAAAAAGCAATATTGAATACAAACTATTCATGATGTGGAACATATGTTAAATATAATCAGATCCCTTTACATATAATCACAATTTTAGTCCAATGGCCAATTCGCTTTTCACACAAATATTATCCAGCGGCATTCGTTTAGGCAAGCGTGCACGGTGGTAGTACACGTGTAGTAGCCCTTTTGTCAATCAAATCCACTGCTGGATGAGGGCCTCCCCACACCGGGCAGGTCGTGGAGGCTTATTTGTCTTTGCTTCACCAGCTTGGTTTGTTTCGGGTGAAGGTGCGCAGTGAAAGACGTGGGTGCATACAGAGCTGTAAAGGGTGGTCCAGATGTCTTGTGACACCCCCCCCCCCCCGCCCAATTAATTTAACTCCCTCACATTGTTTTTACTTTGTCCGTTAATTTCCGCTTGAAATACACTTTCATAAAAATCTAAAGTTTTACAGGAATTAAATGGGGGGAGGGCGGGTCACCAGACATCTGGACTACCCTGAAAAGCAATTTATGTTTCTGCCTTTGCCCTCTACTTACAAAAACAAAGTAAAATAAGTCATCAGAAGTAATCTGATTAATACGCGTAACCTATTAAGACCAGATTACCATTACTAATCTTTTATAATCTGGTTATAAGTCGTATCAGAATAATTTGTAACGTGTTATTCGCCAGCGTTTATATTCAGACTAGCTTGTTGCCCCTCCGAGGACGGAAGCTGTAATATTTACGAAAAAAATTGGGCAGTGTTTAATTGTATCTCGTGTAAATTTAATGGCAGTGAATCTTGCACAAAAGTAAGTCATCAAACACCTCACTGCATTTCGCTGTAGCACCGTATACAGGGGCGGAGCCAGGATTTCAGGCCGGGGTGACATTCAACAAATGTTAATTTCAAGAATGATTTAGAGAGAGTCAGGCTGTTGAACTAGACGCCATCGGTTGGGGACACGCTCTGACAATGCAGTTGCACGGAGTCCGCCAGACCGAGTGTCGTACACTTACACGCAGAATGTCACCCCTGTCACCCCCCCTGGCTCCGCCCCTGACTGTATATATATAACTGACCTTTAATTTGTTCAAATTCACTGCTGTGATACTTTATTTTCTTCTGCTTTCGATCGCTGTGGTTGAAATAAATTGGAAATCGATACAATATCTGGGAAATCACCAACAAATGTCTATTTTACCATAATGTAGAAGCATATATTACATTTACCTTTTGTCTCAAGTGCTGAAGAAATACATAAAGACACCAAATGCACTTTGTTGCTGCGTATAATTATTTATTAGATTCAGTTTCAATAAAGAAACGTCAAACTTAAAGCGAATTTTCATTTTTTTAAAATTTCCATTCGACCTGCGTGAGTGTAAAAATCAACCCGCTCGTGAATTTTAATGACGGGGGGTGCGGCATGTGTAGTGACGTCACGCGCGTTACACACAGACATTCTTGACTCATTATAGTAGTAATATTAATTCGGTACAGTGTATAGAATGACACAATATGGACGATCTCTATTATGGACTATCTAAATAATTTTCCCACGTCCATGGCTACAAATGTATGGTTTATGAGTAGCATTGAACAGATTATTGCAAAATTCAGAATCAAAATCAGAAGTGTATTTCCCCGAGTAAAGCCCACTGAGCTAAGAAGCTATTTTTCAGAATAAAGAATATTTAAATACTAGAGGAATCCGATGAGCTATAAAGTTTTTTTTTCAGAATCAAGAATATTTATTGAAATACTAAAGGAATCCGATGAGTTAAGACGCTCTTTCTCAGAATAAAGAATATTTATTTGAATACTAGATGAATCCGATGAGCTACAAAGCTCTTTTTCATAATCAAGAATACGTATCTTCTTTGGTTCTTTCGGTAAAATCATGTAGAATGAGAATAAAATAATAAAATAAAACAATAAAATTCTCACGACGTTTCGTTCTACGTGACGTTACCGAAAGAACCAAAAAAGATTAATCCTTGCAGTCACGAAAGCTTCAAATCTAGAATTACATACTGTACATTATTCAGTAGTAGTATATAACAATATATTAAATTTCGATTTAAAGCTTTCGTGACTGCAAGGATGCATCTTCTTTGGTTCTTTCGGTAAAGTCACGTAGAATGAGAATAAAACAATAAAATAAAACAATAAAATTCTCACGACGTTTCGTTCTACGTGACTTTACCGAAAGAACTAAAGAAGATGAATCCTTGCAGTCACGAAAGCTTTAAATCGAAATTTAATATATTGATATATACTACTACTGAATAATATACAGTATGTAATTCTAGATTTGAAGCTTTCGTGACTGCAAGGATTCATACTTTTTTTCTAAAGTCACGGAGGCACGCACTTGACACAGAAATTCTGCTGTGACTGTTCCACCTGAAGACGGAAGCTTGTGTTGCCTCAGAAACGTCGTGAGAATGTTATTGTTTTATTTTATTATTTTATTCTCATTCTACGTGACTTTACCGAAAGAACCAAAGAAGATGAATCCTTGCAGTCACGAAAGCTTTAAATCGAAATTCAAGAATATTTATTTAAATACTAGAGGAATCCAATGAGCTATAAAGCTTTTTTCAGAATCAAGAATATTTATTGAAATACTAAAGGAATCCGATGAGTTAAGACGCTCTTTCTCAGAATAAAGAATATTTATTTGAATACTAGATGAATCCGATGAGCTAAAAAGCTATTTTTCAGAATCAAGAATATTTATTAAATACTGGAAGAATCCGATGAGCTATAAAGCTCTTTTTCAGAATCAAGAATATTTGAATACTGGAGGAATCCGATGAGCTACAAAGCTCTTTTTCAGAATCAAGAATATTTATTTGAATACTGGAGGAATCCGATGAGCTACAAAGCTCTTTTTCAGAATTAAGAATATTTATTTGAATACTGGAGGAATCCGATGAGCTATAAAGCTCTTTTTCAGAATCAAGAATATTTGAATACTGGAGGAATCCGATGAGCTATACAGCTCTTTTTCAGAATCAAGAATATTTATTTGAATACTGGAGGAATCCGATGAGCTACAAAGCTCTTTTGCAGAATCAAGAATATTTATTTGAATACTGGAGGAATCCGATGAGCTATAAAGCTCTTTTTCAGAATCAAGAATATTTGAATACTGGAGGAATCCGATGAGCTATAAAGCTCTTTTTCAGAATCAATAATATTTGTTTGAATACTGGAGGAATCCGATGAGCTACAAAGCTCTTTTTCAGAATCAATATTTATTAAATACTGTAGGAATCCGATGAGCTATAAAGCTCCAGTCGGGGCAGGTCTGGAATAATTAATCCGTAAAGAGGTCTCATCAGAGTCCAGCGAACTCTCCACTGCACCACCCCTCTCTGCTGTAGGGGTCACCACGTGAACACTTCGTTGGGTCTCCCCAAGGCTACGGCGATTCATCGTTGCACACCTCTGATTATAAGACTCACACTTCTTCCCTCCACAAATCAGGCTGTCGCCTGATGAAGCTAGTTGAAATTCACGACGAAACGTCGTACTCGGATTGTAATGTGGATTTACTCTCCAACACAGCGGTGTGCTGTACGCGTAACGAATTGCCATGTTCTGTTTACGTGACAAACCTTACTAATTGGCCGTGTCGGGTGGTGGCGGGTTTAACGACACATTTATATTGACGCGATCTAACCCCAAAAACCCCCCAGTATTTTATGGACTTATTCCCTATATTGAAACGTGATGGGAGGGGGGGGGCTTCTACTCGGCTAGAATCGTATAACTTCGACACGAGTTCGGGGTGCCGTCTTACTTTCCGTCGCGCGTCTCATAACCCGGCAATAGATTTAAAAAATAACAACAGAAAGAGGTTCTGGCCGCGTTAATTAACGCTAAGAAATCAGCGCGCTGAGAGAGAGCCCGCAGGAGCCTCCACGCCTTTAACCGGAAACTGACGTCAGCGCGGGGGGGGGGGGCGAGTGTGGGGGGGGTGCAGAGGGGCGGGGTTAGCGAGGGGCGGGGTGAGTGTGGGGTGGAGAGGGGCGGGGTGAGTGTGGGGGGCGGTGGTGGGGAGTAAAAACAACAACCCGCCAACGCGGTTACGTCATCCCAGCGTGCACCGCGCTGTTTGGGGCGTGACGGGCCCGCGCGCGGGATGCCATGGCGACCGCGAGGCGGACCAATGGGGATGCTCGCTCATTACGTCATGGGCGACCAATGGGGGATCCTCGGCATTACGTCATGGCTATTCGGGGGCCGCGCGAGCGCGCTTATAAAAGGGGGTGGCGGGGCCCCCCGCGCCACTCACTCGGCGGGAGACGCCCGTGGTGCTTATGCGTACGGGACGTGAAAGCCTTTTGAGACTAACTGCTCACGCGTTAACTGGTTAACTTGTTTGGTGTAGTTGACTTTTGGTGTAGGGAGGGGAAGGAAGGAGTTTGTGTGACGGAGTTAAAAAAAAGTTAACTTTTGTCAGTTTCGTTAAGTGTAAGTCGAAGAGACAGGCCCGAGTTTCGTTTTTTTGTTATAATTCCAACTTTTGGCTGACGTCAGTGTCGGAGTGCGTGAGGAGAGGACACGTACTCGAGTTGCGTGTTCCTCGCAAACCACCAGCGACTTCGGTTTAGGTTCGACACACTCCTCGTCGCGCTCTTACTACTTAGAGCCAGTCGCAGTCTATCGAGCAACCCTAACCCCCCCCCCCTGCCCCAAACTTGAACGTGTCGTCTTCAACACCGGGGACTTGACTTCAACTTATACCCGAGAAGCCGAGGAGGGAACGGAGCAGAGGAGTTTCCCGCGACCGGCGTCTTCCACCACCTGTGTCGTCCAGAACCGCGCGGGGAGCAGCGGGTGGCGGTGTCACCACCCCACCTCCCCCAGTGCATGAACTCCAGGATGGAAGCGACCTTCTACCACGACGACGCTCTGAACGTGGTGGCCCCTCACGCCGACTCCACCCGCTCCCTGCACTCCTCCTTCTCGTCCTCCTCCTCATCATCCTCCTCATCGTCGTCGTCGACGTCACCGTCGACCTTCTCCTATGGCTACCGCTCGGCGAACGCAATGAAAAAGAGCCTCTCCCTTAACCTCTCGGACCCGGCCAGGGCCCTCAAGCCTCACCTGCGAGCCCCGGGCAGCGGCGGGGAGACTGCGGCGGCCGCTGCTGCGGCGGCTGCGGCGGCGGCGTCATCCAGCAGCGGAGGAGCCGGAGGCCTCTTGAAACTCGCCTCGCCCGAGTTGGAGAGGCTCATCATCCACTCGAGCAACGGCCTGGTGACCACCACGCCGACGCCCACGCAGTTCCTGTGTCCGCGCAACGTGACGGACGAGCAGGAGGGCTTCGCCGACGGCTTCGTGAAGGCTCTGGAGGAGCTGCACAAGCAGAACCAGCTGCAGGGCATCCCCTCGAGCGGAGCTGGGACGGGAGCGACCGCCGCCTCCGTCACGGTCGCGGCCGCCGCTGCCGCCGCCGCCGCGGCCGCCGTGGCCGGTGCCGGCACCCCGCTGAGCCCCGCCACGGCGCTCCAAATCGGGGCCATGGCCGCAAACTTTGGCATGGAGGCGCCCGTCTACACGAACCTGACCAGCTACCACCAGCACCACCATCATCACCACCACCACCAGCATCAGCAGGGAGGTGGTGGCGGTGGAGGAGGCCCGGCCATCGGTGGTGGCGTGCAGCCGCCGGCCACGTACCCCGGTGGTCCACCCTCAGGCTACCAACCTCGGCTGTCTCTGCAGCAGCAGCAACAGCAGCAGCAACAGCAGCACCCACGCCTGCAGGCTCTCAAAGAAGAGCCGCAGACGGTGCCTGAACTTGGCAGCAGCAGTTGCTTGGCCATCGGCGGCGGCGGCGGTGGCGGCAGCTCCGTGGGCACGGCGAGCGCGTCGCCTCCGCTGTCGCCCATCGACATGGAGTCGCAGGAGCGCATCAAGGCGGAGCGCAAGCGGCTGCGCAACCGCATCGCAGCCTCCAAGTGCCGCAAGCGCAAGCTGGAGCGCATCGCGCGCCTCGAGGATCGCGTCAAGGGCCTCAAGACGCAGAACGCCGAGCTGGCGGCGTCGGCGGGCGCCCTGAGGGAGCAGGTGGCGCGGCTCAAGCAGAAGGTGATGAAGCACGTGCACGGCGGCTGCCAGCTCATGCTCACGCAGCAGATGCAGCACGGATTCTGAGCTCGTTTGTGACTTGGCTGCCGACGATCTTTGCGTGCCCCACCACGCAACGGGACGGGCTCTTGACGGACGGACCAGCAAGAGATGGGAGGGGTGGGGTGGGGGGTCCTCACGTTGGTGAGGACACGCGCACACACGCGCGCACACACACGTGCGTGTGTGCGCGCGTGTCAGAGTTGCTGACACAGCAGCAGCAGCTGAATCATCACGGGAGCCGTGGTGGACTACTTGAAGCCATCTCAGAGTGCCGTGTGTCCGCTAAACCGCGCGCCAAGTATTGGCGTGGCGAGCTGCTGCGCCTCGCCAGTCGTGACGGACACGCCGGTGGACTGACTGTGTGTGTCCCGCACGCCTGCAGAAGACGCGTCGAGCACGATGCTGTTACTGCCCACTGATGCACTGTTTGTGGTGTACGTACTCAGCCCGGCTCATCTCCGGTGTTAACAACCGAGTGAGTTTGTGCGAAGTCGGCAGTGCTTCTTGAACTATGGAGAGACTCGCCCCTGCCATAGGACCGTGGACTTTCCACCACTGCCTCGGCGCTACGAGTGGAGAATGGAACGCCTTGCGATGTTTTTTGTTAGGAGGGAGAAGCGTTTGCCTTTTTAACTTTTACGCACTGCTTTCGGCGAGGTCGAAATGGGATGTCTTAAAGCAATGGGCCTGATCGTGGGTTTTACTGTGTTGTGTAGCACTGCGAACGTGTAACATAACTTTATACATGCTCGTTACGTGTACTACATTGATAGTCCTATGTACTATATATGTACTATATAGTATATACAGTACTGTATCTGAGTTAAACCTCAGTAGGGAAGTTCAGTTGAAATTTCTATCGGGGCTCTCTCCAAACTTTTGTCATCCATTAAAATGAACTGGCCCTCGCCATAGGAATGTGGAAGTTCCAACAGCTGGCTTGGCGAGAGCATAGGCACTCACCGTCACCTTTGTGCCGTGTACAGTATATGGCGTGTCTTTAAACAGCACCTTGGCTAATAAAGCGCTGCGAGTATTCACGTCATCAGTTAAACGACTTACCATGTACTGCATAACTGATCCCTCTGGCCCAGACTGCAGTGATAATACAGTACTGTATACAGTATATACTGTATCTAATACCATACAAAGTGCGTAAAGTGTCGAATGTGTCTGTGTTCAAAAGTGCGGTCGTGGATTGATGTGGCCGCTCTTGGACATCACTCGGCCACGGTAAACCTTTGTAAATGTTACCATTTTTTCTCCCCTCTAACGTGTAACAGAATGTATGAGTATGTGTGTTTTTTGTTTGCGTTTGTCATGGCTACTATTTTGTTTGTACTTGCGTCAGTTTTCGTGACGCCCAAAACAGCCTGCCCGGCACTCGCATCTCGTCCATGACATCTTTCGCGTGCGTCGTTTCACTTTATATTTTAAAAAAAGAGGGGGCAAACGAGAAGAAAATAAACTTCACGTCGTGGTCGTACTGGTAAAAAAAAAATACACCATTTTCTCATATTTCCCGATGCCTTCGTCAAGACGTTCTCTCTACAAACTTCGACCAGAGTTTGAAGCGAAGTGGGCGACTCTAACCCTTCTTCCTATTTTAAGTTAAAACTAGCGCGCACACCTTTCGCCCAAACAGATTTGGTGTCGACGGAATATCGCTTTTGTAGGCATAAATCATGCTGGACTGTTAACAAAAAGACCAAATATGTTTTTTGCTTGTCCAATCTTGAGTTTGTGACGTCTATCTGAAAGTGGAATTTAGTCAGAAAAAAAAGTCACAGAAGTGATTTTTTTTTAAGTTTGAAACTTGAAATCTTTTGAGCTTGGGGAAAGTCTTTTTGTACACTGATAAAGCCTTATTTTGTAAATTAAACTAAATAGCTCTTGACTAAAACAAGTCAGTATTACCATAGCTTTTAGACTTCTTTTGAAAAAAACTAGTATTGCGTGTTAGAACTGGTGTACAAAGTGTTAAAATGTCTTAAACGTATCCTGAAACCAAAGCCTATAGTATAAATATGCAAATGTAATTTGGTGAGGCTTTTATGTAAGTTATTTTTTTCCATTTTATTTGGCACGTGTAACACATTGATTGGGTTTGACCCAGCTCCTAGCGCTTGTGTTTAACATGGTTTTATTCATTCCGAACGTGACTGTGTGACGATTAGTTCTACACGCTTTCAAAGCGCTTCAACACTTTGTAAGGATATTTATTAAAACGCAATAAAGTAAACGAGAGACTTGCAGAACTGGATATTGTGCTTTTGTTGCAAGTACCAAGTATATTGTCTGGGCGGGGTGATGCTGTGGCCTGTTTACAGGGGTCAACTTAACTCATCATTCCTGTGGACAATAAAATGAGAGTCGCCGTGAAAAGACAGTGGTGGTTATCCTTTGGAAAAACTGATTCCTGCTATAGAAATTAGACGTTCCCATCACTGGCTGGCTCACCATTTGGAAATGAGCATTTACCCAATACTACGTACGGTGCGAAATAAGTTCATTATCAATTCAAGCGTAGGAAAAGCGACCTTTGACTAGTTTTCCATCATTTTAAAGCCGACTAATGGTCACGAACACTTTCCATTGAGCCACTCTGTATGGAGTTGGCAGTTCGTTTCTACGTCCTGCTATGCACTCTAACTTTGAGGTTAAACGTTCTTGGGTCATCCACAAAGAGTGTACCATTGTGTCCCGGTGTCAATGCACTTTGGATGTAAATTAACTTCCGGAAGACAATTCTCCCTCGAATAGTCGCACGTGCTGAAGGTTTTCTTAAACCTCCATTGTGGCCCGCCAAATTCCTATATTCGCCAACGCGATTTTTTTGCCTACTCATTCTCTTACACGGAAGAGCGCCGGGAAATCGCTGGCACGAGGGTGGAACTTTCCTATATTTAGACGGGCAAATAACCCCCCACCCGCTCCCCATGCAGATGCCATGCAAGGAGTGAGATGGAGGCCGCTATTGCCATAGCACAACCACGTAACTCACAATTGTTGATGTGCAGCAATGTTTTTGTTACGACAAAGCGAGCAGGGCATCCAGATGAGACATTCTGCAACCGTTGAACAATCTCACACGAATAACAATTTTATATACAGTACGTAGGTTTGTTTTCAGCCCTTTGTCAATCCATACTTCAGGGTGGTCCTTGCCAGATGTACATTCATGTCCTGTCTAGAAATAGTCGCATTGACATGGTATGCGCTTTTTAGTTAGTAAATGAGATAGTGGACGACTGGTTGAAGTTTTCAGTCGGCTGGTGAGGAATGGAGACGAATAGCAAACCGGTGAAAATCGTATTCCACAAGTATATAATATGAAAACAAATTGCATAGTCATACAGCATTGGACAAACTTTACATGTTCACACAGACCAGGGATCGGCAACCGAATTAACAAGAAGAGCCATTTTTTTCGAATTAGGTCCAAAATACTAAATTTCAAGAGCAGCAATGAATACATAGACATTACGTCACGAAGCAGCTTGCAAAGAGCCGCACGCGGCTCCGGAGTTGGTAGGTTGCCGACAACTGCGATACAACAAACATCAAAATGTGTCCCTGCGTGGCTTTAGACTGGAGGAGCACGTGCTGCTGTGAGCGAGCACCTACGAAGGCCGGCACGGCACACGAGGGGGTGGGTAGCCACCATCACGCCCGGCCGTCTTCGTCTCCCCAATTGTGATGTTTACATACTGCACCAGGTACTCATTTGAGGCTGAGTCGACCTAGAATAGGTACAGGACCGGTTCGGATAATCGTCACTAGTGTTGGCCGTGAGTGGGAATCGAACCCGGCGCGCGAGGGGCGCAGCGCAACGCGCTAACCGCGACACTACCACTCCACATACACACACACGGGCCACACACACACCCCACACACACATCCCACATGCACACCCCACACGCCCACCCCACACGCACACCCACACACACACACCCACACACACCCCACACCCACACACCCACCAACACCCCCCACACGGGCCACACACACCCCACACGCACACCCCACACGCACACCCCACACGCGCACACACACACCCCCACACCCCCCACACACACCCCACACCCCCCCCCCCACACACACACCCCACACCCCCACACACCCCCCCACACACAGACACACAGGCCACACACGCACGGCACAACACACACTTGGCATACACGCACCCCCTGTAGTTGTGACAAGTGCAATGGCCCATCCTCCAATCCAGCACCTTCCCCACAGCCCTCATCCCCTCTCCCCTTCAGCCCCACCCCCCCTCCGGCACTCTTCCCCCGCCACCCTCTTCAACCACCCCTACCCCCTCCGTGCCGCTCAGCGCTCAGAAGTGTCGGTGGTCGTCTTCGTAAGTTTCCATCGACTCTAAACGCCGTTCGGCTGAGACTGTGCGTCCGTGACAAGTGCGGCACTGACGCTCCGTGAAGATGAGCCAGTGTAAAAGAGACTTTAGTGAAGACGTTTTATATTCTTGGTTCTTTCGGTAAAGTCACGTAGAAGGGAAACAATAAAATACTAAAACATATTTTTTATTGTTTTATATTTTTATTATTTTATTGTTTCCCTTCTACGTGACTTTACCGAAAGAACCAAGAATATGAATCCCTGCAGTCACGAAAGCTTTAAATCAAAATTGAAGACGTTTTGTTGCGATTGGACAACTTGACAAAGGGATCAACAGGTTGTTCAAAAGTTGGGAGTCGTACAAACAAAACAAAAACTCCCAGCGCTAAAAGGACCCCGGTCGGTAGACCAAGATCCCCGTGTAGCCTTTAACAGACTGTTGGGGCAAGTGCTGTTAGCGAGAACCTATGAAAGCCGGAAAGGCTTACGGGATGGATGGATGGTTGGCCAGTAGCACGCCCGGCCGCCTTTGTATCTCTAGTGGCGATGTTTACACACCGCACCAGGTACTCATTTAAGGCTGAGTCGACCTAGGGGAGGCCCGGGACCGGTTCAGATAATCGTCACTGGTGTTGGCCGTGAGCGGGAATCGAACCCGGGTCGCCAGGTTCATAGCGCAGCGCGCTAACCGCTACACCACCTCTCCCCACGACACAAACAACAACAACCGCCATTCGCCACTAAGTGGCGGTGACGTCACCACGACGCTTGTGCCAGGCCATGTGCACCTTGAGGCCACGTGAAGTGTCGAACGCCTGCTGGCAGGAGGTCACGGGGCAGACCCAAGTGCCACGGGTCGACTGACTGAGATGACTGAGATGACTGGCTGATGCACCACCTGTGCTCCCTACTGTGTGAACCTGCTGTGCTTTAGCCACCCGGCGCTCCGCTCGTTGTTGTGAGCGTCGCTCCTCCACCCTGCGTTGTTGTTGGAGGGCGACTGCCTCCAACTGCCCAGTAGGATCCTTCACGAGCCTCCTCCACAGAGGTCGATCTTGACACCGCTGGTACCAGTCATCGGCAAGTCCACTCAGCTCCACGTCCTCCTGTACCACATCACTCCATCTCTTCTCTAGCCCGTGCCGCGCTCGTTTAGCCCCCCTCGATCCGGCCGAACAAAAGCTGTTTCGGCATGCGGTGGCTGGGCACGCGGGCTACATGACCCAGCCAACGCAGCCTTGCCTGCCGGAGCAGCTCACCGATGGGACCTTGCCCAGATCTTTCAATGATTTGTGAGCTTCTCACACAATCCAGCCGGTGAAACCCAGAATGGATCGTAGGCAGGCTAGCCTAAATCTTTCTAACTGGCGAAGATGTTCCATTAGGGGGGTTGACGTTTCACAAGCGTAGAGAAGGGAGGGAATGACTGTGGCCGAGAAGACCGGAAGCTTAGTGCGGAGCGACAGACCAGGTAGCTTCCACACAGCGTTACGCAACCGATGAAAATATATTGCCGCTCGACTGATTCGGAGTGAGACCTCTGCTGTTAAACTGGAGCCGGTCATAAGCACACTGCCCAGGTATGGGAAACTCTCCACTCTCTCCACGACTTCCCTATCACCGATTGGGAGTTGTGGGGGTGGAGTGTCCGATGGTACAAAATACCCAGGCAGGTGCTTAGTTTTGGTGGGGCTGATGGTAAGGCCCCATCTCTTATTGGCACGCTCCAGTCTCAGCAGCAGCGTCTCCAACTCCTCCTCTGAATGAGCAGCTATTACCAAATCATCAGCATACATAACGTGGTGGAGCAATAGGGAGCCATCCCTTGACTGCACCCGGGCATCGATCAGCTACCCATTATATCTGTACCAAATGGCGATTCCCCCGGTACAGCTATTGAAGGCTTCACGAACTACGTGGTCAAAATAGATGTTAAATAATGTGGGAGCCAGAGTACATCCCTGTCGCACCCCAATGTGTACAGGGAATGGCTCTGACTCCCGGCCACGTAGCTTTACCCGGATCCACTCACCATCATGAAGGTACTTAATGATCGTAAGTAGAGGGTCAGGGACTCCAAAAGCACGAAGAACAACCCAGAGCCCAGGCTTACTGATGGTATTATAGGCCTTGACCAGGTCAATAAAGCAGAGATGTAGGTCTTGCTGGAATTCCCTACACCTCTGCTGTAGCAGACGGACAGAAAATATAGAATCCGTGCAGGACTGCCATTTCCTGAAACCGCATTGGGGCTTCGCAAGCCTCTCCTCAGCGTGCCTGGCAAGGCGATGTTGAATAATCCTTGCCAGGATCTTTCCCAGCACACTGAGGAGTGAGATGCCCCTGTAGTTGTTACAGTCTGTGCGGTCGCCCTTCTTAAAGAGGGGGACCACCAGGGCATCCTTTCAATCCTGCGGAACCCGTCCAGTGGTCCAGACTGTTGTTATGATGTCATATAAGGCAGTCTGTGCACAAACGCCACCCTCCCTCAGCATTTCGCTTGGGAGATCATCTCTGCCCGGTGCCTTTCCTGGTCTCAAACTCCGGATCGCCTTCAGTACTTCCTCAACAGATGGCACCTCACCTAGCCACTCACAGGGGGTGACTTCTTCCAATATTTGAGGCACCGCAGCCTCAGTAGGGTCATCCCCACTTTGTGCCACGATGTTTTCCTGGCTAAGGGATTTTCCCTCCACCAGGACCTCACAGAAATGCTCAGCAAATCTGCAAACCTGTTCGTGGGGGTCGGATATTGGATCACCGTTTTTTCCCCTAATGATGGTAATAGGTGTGGCACTGCAGGTTACTTTTTTGATGGACACACACACAGTGGCACACACAGTGACACACACACACACAGACACCATCCTCCCCGAGAGAGCCACAATCCGAGCCCAGATGTCTCATCGCATCTTACGTAAAAATAATTATCGTAAATAAGATTCAAGTTGAACTAAACTTCACGACAATATGATGTTGATATTCTGGACTTTGTCCAGTGAATAACCGGGCAATACTGATCA